CACCAGGAAGCAGCAATGAGTGCCCCAGATTCTGGCTCACTGACAAGCAAGTTCAAGCCCCATAGCCCATCTCACCTTAAATAGCAGGGAATGAGCTCTCTTATTGAACTGGCTCTCTAGCCTTGTTTTGGACATTTAGCTTTGTTGAAAGTTTTCTGAAAGTGTGTGCTTTTACCTTCTTGTAAAGGCAGAATAGTAGCCTTTGTGAGTCTGATAGTTGAGGTCCTTCTGAGCTTCACAGCTGTCTTCATTATTAGAGTCTGGAACTGGAGTTGGTAAGTTGAATTGGCCTAAAACAGCAGGCTCCCAAAGGCAGAAGCGAAGGGGAGAGTGGGCTTTGCTGCCCTTCATTTCCTAAGATCTTCAATAGCTTGCCATCCCGAGCAAAACACCAAAAATAAGTACATATACCACATAAAATCAAAGGAAGAAGAGTTTCTTAAACCCTTCTCATCTTCTCCTGCACTCTTTGATGGAATCTCTTTTATGAAAATTCTGGAGCTATCCCTGGCTCCAGGAAGGATTTGAAACCAATCCAAATCCCCTATCACATATACTAGTGTAAAGATTAAAATTCTACTAGTTTTTGTTTTTTTGTTGTTGTTGTTGTTTTTTTTTCTATTTAAGGCCAGGATGGAGTAACAGGGACTAGATATGCCCTTCTCCCCCCACCAAAAAAAGGAAAAAAAATTAAAAACAGCTTTTAAGACACTGGAAACTGGACATAGTCTCATGGTTCGTGAGTTTGAGCCCCATGTTGGGCTCTGTGATGACAGCTCAGAGCCTGGAGCCTGCTTCAGATTCTGTGTCTACCTCTCTTCTGTGCCCCTCCCCGACTTGTACTCTGCCCCTCTCTCTCTCTCTCTCTCTCTCAAAAATAAGTAAACATTAGAAAATAAAAGAATTGTTGTTGAAAAGACATTGGACACTGGACAGCAAAGACAGTCATCTCTGAGACACAGGAAAACACAAAAGGTGAGACCTAACAACTGCGCCAGCTTTTTGCCTTGACAAAGTTTCCAGGCCATAGTGGGGCGGGGGAGTGATAGATGTTGATTATGGTGATGCATATGATCACACTGTATACTTTATTGCATTGTACTGTGTGTCAATGTAACCTCAATAAAACAAAATATTACTAATAGAGCTTCTCTCCTTGATCTTCTGGCTTCCATCCCTATTAAAATAGAAGTCCCATTGAAGGGGGAACCATTTTATTTATTTTTTTTAAGTTTATTTATTTATTTTGAGAGAGAGAGTGAACACACATGCACATGAGCAGTAGAGGGGCAGAGAGAGAAGGAAAGAGAATTGAAAGCAGGCTCCTAGCTGTCAGCACAGAGCCAGAGGTGAGGCTGAGCCCAAGAACCCTGAGATCATGACCGGAGCCAAAGTCCAACACTGAACAGACAGAACCAGCTGAGCCACCCAAGTGCCCCTAAGGAGGAACCATTTTAGATTTGTATTATTACGTTATCACACTGGGGTGTCGATGAAAACCCACGTACAGAATTTCTAGGGAGAGCAAGGATGCTTATTAAGGAGAGTGAGAGAAAGGAGAAAGAGCACAGGTCAGGAAAATGCAAACAAGCTTCTGTCCACAGATGGAATTAGCAGGGGTGGGTCCAGGTGGAAGTGTGTGGTGGTGGTTTTTGTTGCCACAATACATGGAGAGTGTTACAGGCATTTAGTGGACAAGAGCCTGGGATGCGCCAGTCTCACAATGGGCAGGTGTACTGCATGACAACGAGGAGTCCCACACAAAATCCCGGATAGTACCTTGCTGACAAACCCTGGTGGAAGGATTCAGTGGTTCGAGCTCTTTGGTCCCTCCCCCACTCTCAGCATTACCAGGGGGTCTCAGAGTGCTTTCTGAACTAGGGTTTGCAATGCAGAACAGAACACTTACTGATCAGTCCTGTCTTAGCCAGTTAAGTTTTCCAGATGTTACAGCTTCAAATACAATCAGAACGTCCAAAGCCTTGAGAACACTGACAGGAACACAGAGATCACTTCTAAAGGTAACTCCTTAAACTTTAGAAACCTTTAAGAGAATTAGTTATGGTAGCCAAGTTTCCACGAATTTTATTGTCCAAAATAGTTGGGTGTAAAGTTAAAATTCTGTAAATTGGTGATGTGTTCTTAGTAATAAATAATCAGTCGATCAATCAATCTATGTATCTATGTATCAATCTTCCTAAGCCAAGTTTTTGTGTGTGAGACAAAGGAAGTTACAATAATGAAATTCAGGTTTAGAAGAGACTTTATAGGTCATCTTGTTTAGTAAGAGAAGATTACAGTGACAGAAAATGCAGTGGAAAAACACCGCCCTCCCATTAGTAAGCTAAGTTAATGCACTTTATGGAAAGCACAGCTTTGTGGATACTTCCCAATTAGGAGTTCATGTTTCCTTTATAGTATTTTGCCATGTTTTCCTACCTTAGATATTTCCCCCGTGCCATGATCTTTCAGGTCCCCAACCCACGTTCATTTTCTCCATGCCTATATTTCTCGTGACATGTAGCTCTTCCAATCCTGTGCTCCCTTCCTCCTTCTAATGTCTAGATACTTAAGGTGTGTAACAGAATCATACTTCAGGTTCTGCAGCTTAGGAAACTACTTTTTACTTGTTTGTTTAATGTTTCTTTGTTGTTGTTTTTTTCTTCTTTAAGCTCTATGCCCAGTATGGTCCTTGAACTCACGACCCTGAGATCATTGTGTTCTACTGAATGAGTGAGCCAGGAGCCCCAGGGCATCCTTTTTAAATTTACATCCAGGGGCACCTGGGTGGCTCAGTCGGTTGAGCATCTGACTATTGATTTTGGCTCAGGTCTTGATCCCAGAGTCCTAGGATTGAGCCCCACTTTGAGCTCTGCTCTTAGCATGGAGCCTGCTTGAGATTCATTCTCTCTCTCTCTCTCTCTCTCTCTCTCTCTCTCTCTCTCTCACACACACACACACACACACACACACATATACACACAGTCCCTTTCCCCTGCTTGTATGCTTTCTCTTGCTCTCTAAAATATAAATTAATTTAGTAAGTAAGTGACATTCAGCCTTCTATCCTGCCTTCCAGGCCAAAATTTTAACTGCCAGATGAGCTTCACCAGTTCATCTGTTGACGGTACTAGGACCTCAAACTTAACCTGCCGAAAGCAGTACTTGGGCTTGATCCCCCCATCATCCTTATTCCTCTGTAAGACATCCCCATGCAGTAACCCTGGCTTGAAACCACAGTGGCTTCTCTCTCTAGCTCTCTTACGTTCAGCTGCCCGTCTTGTAGAATTTGCCTTTGAAATGTCTCTTCCGTCCATCCCTTTTCCTTTATTCCCTTTACCACTAGCCCAGTTCAGACTCTCATTACTTCCCACCAACGTCTGATTTTTCCTTCTTCAAATGGATTACAGCACAACTGATTATTTGTCAGTAGTTTCCTCATAACCTATGAAATGACACATCAAGTCTTTACTTGGACTTCTTTTTTTTTGGGGGGGGGCTACATTTATTTCTGGGAATTTATTTCTTTTTTTTTTTTTTTAAATGTTTTATTTATTTCTAGGAGAGAGAGAGAGCGACAGCGTGAGCAGGGGAGGGTTAGAGAGAGAGGGAGTCACAGACTGAAACAGGCTCCAGGCTCTGAGCTGGCAGTCAGCACAGAGCCCGACGCGGGGCTCGAACCCACGAACCGCGAGATCATGACCTAAGCGAAAGTCGGACGCTCAACCGACTAAGCCACCCAGGCGCCCCATGGGAATTTATTTCTTTTGAAACAATATACATAGCAAAAGAAATTTCAAGTACTACAAGTGTGCGTACAATGAAAACTGTCTTTCCCACTAAAGACTTCCTACTCCAGACTATACCAGTATTTCAGTGTACTCTCTTCCAGTTTCTCTTGTGTCCTTCACAAACCTTACTATGCTTTTCATTTGGACTTTTAAGACCCTCCAAAGTTTGGGCCCAGTTTTACTTTTTAACCTTATACCTGGTATCTCTGTTCTATTTTATTTTTTTAATTAATTTTTTTAATGTAATCTCTACACTCAGTGTGGGGCTTGAACTCACAAATCCAAGACCAAGAGTTGCATGCTGTATGAACAGAGCCAGCCAGGCTTCCCTTACCCCGTTCTATTTTTAAATCACTGTGGACTGCTTCCCTTTCCTAATACATATTCTACTTTTTCCTGCCTTTATCTTTGTGTTGTTTTTATTGTTGTTGTTGTTGTTTTTTATCCCTTCCAGTTGCAATATCTCCCTTTCCACATGCGCTGAAAATTCACCAACTGTCACTCTGGCATCTTGACTTCTCCCCACAACTGAATATGACCTTTCCCCTCTTTATTTTATTATTTTTTTAATGTTTATTTTGAAAGACGGAGGAAGGTGCAGAGAGAGGAGGACAGAGGGTCTGAAGCAAGCTCTGTGCTAACAATCGAGAGCCCAATGTGGGGCTCGAACTCACGAACTGTGAGATCATGACCTGAGCCACAATCAGGTGCTTTCCTGATTGAGCCACCCAGGCATCCCTGACCTTTCCCCTCTTTAAATCTCTTTGACAGTTTGCTGAAACTCACTAATGATACTTAGCATGTGTACTATGTATTATCTATGTTTATGCAAGGGTCACACATTCTGGTTGAAATGAGCTTCTCAAAGACAAGAACTATGCCTTACTCATCTTTCTGTCCTTTCCAGGGCCTAGCATCATGCCCTACATAGAACAAGGGCTTAATGAAGGTTTTTGAATTTAATTTTAATCAATTATTTCTTTATATTGTGAAATCTATATATTTCATTGACACGAGAAATATTATACTATTTAAACTAACTGGATTTGAATTTAGAAGCAAGTTCTCCCAAAATATCTTCTTCATTATTACATATATGAAATAAAACTCAGTCCAAATCCATTAATAGAAAGCATTATAATGAGCAAATTGAAATATAAAATAAGTTTTGGTCAGCAAGTTAAAAACATACTGTGAATAAAATCTCACCTGAGAGAGGATTCATTCAAACTTCGGGGCCCTTTGCCCCTCCAAAAGACAGGGTCATCAGTCTCTTCTTTAACTAAGAAAAAGAAAAAAAAGAAAAAAATCATTTAATACTTAATTACATAATTTAATTGAGTTGGTGAAGAAGATAGTTACATGTACTAAATTGAAGATTGCTCATAAATCCCTACAAAAACTGGGCGCCTGGGTGGCTCAGTCGGTTGAGCATCCAACTTTGGCTCAGGTCATGATCTCATGGTTTGTGAGGTTGAGCCCCACATCAGGCTCTGTGCTGATGTCGCTCAGAGCCTGGAGCCTTCTTTAGATTGTGTCTCCCTCTCTCTCTCTCTGTCCCTCACCTGCTCATACTCTGTCTCTCAATCTCTGTCTCAAAAATAAGCATACATTAAAAAACAAAACAAATAGGCTAAATTATAAGCTGGGCAGCATGATGGAACAAAAGGAACTTTGGCTTTGATGTTAAAACGTACTCAACTTCAGACGCTCGTAAAAAGTTACTTTACAGTTTATAAGACTTTACCAGTTAACTTTATCATTTTAGACTCAGTATCTTAATTTATAAAAATAAAGATGAGGGGGCGCCTGGGTGGCTCAGTTGGTTGAGTGTCAGACTCTTGGGTTGTTATCCCAGAATTGTGAGATTGAGCCCCATGCTGGGCTCGGTGCTGAGCATGGACCCTGATTAAGTTTCTCCCTCTCTCTCTCTCTCTCTCCCTCTGTTCCTCTCCCCCACTAGCAGTCTCTCTATTTCTTAAATAAATAAGTAAATAAATAAATAAATAAGATAATTCTGGAAATGAAAATAAGATAATTTGTATAAAAGTGACATATAAAAAATGGGTATGTGCAGAGTAGTTCCGCAATAAACATTAGTTTAATTTAAAGTAAAAATCAGAACCAGTCATAACCCGCATCGAGAAAATTACTGTGTCCTCCCAGTTATGTAAGTGTATTTTGTTTGCTTACTTAGAGGAACAAATAGTAATAGTATCTAAAAAGTATTCCAAACAAGAACCAAATGTCCCGTTCCATAAGCCACTGCAAGAGGTCAGTACTAGCCTCACTTTCTAAGCTCCAGGGGAAACTCGGTATGGCCCCATTGAACCGCCTCCCCATCCCTGCAGAAGGGCCGGAGTCAGGGATGCACAAGCCATAGAGAGCCAGGGAGGGAAAAGGGGGAAAGCCCTGCTCCCACAGAGAACTCCTTTTGGGGATTTCCCTAACTCTGTCAGCTGCTTCCTCTCTTGGTTTGCTTGCTTCCCTGTCCTCCTCCCTCCCTTTTAACTGCTTTCAGTTTATTTTTCTTTTGAGGTAAAATTTACATCATATGAAATCAAAATCTTAAGTGTACTTTCATGGAGTTTGGCCCCTTTCTTTTTGAACTGCTCTGCACAGTTCTCCGTTACTGCCATGGGTATGAGAGGAGCCGAGAAGAAAGAACCCTCTCACCTCAGAGAGCCAAAAGTGATGCTGGATGGGGTCTTTAAAAAGATAGCTGGATGGACACTTAGGCTCTTTCCATGTTTTGGCTATTGTGGAGAGTGCTGCTATGAACATTGGGGTACATGTGCCCCTATGCATCAGCATTTCTGTATCCCTTGGGTAAATTCCTAGCAGTGCTATTGCTGGGTCATAGGGGAGTTCTATTGTTAATTTTTTGAGGAACCTCCACTCCGAATGGATCAAGAAGATGTGGTTTATCTATACAATGGAATACTGCATGGCAATGAGAAAGAATGAAATCTGGCCATGTGTAGCAACATGGATGGACCTTGAGGGTGTTATGCTGAGTGAAATAGGTCAGGCAGAGAAGGACAAATATCATATGTTTGTACGTATAGGAGGATTAGGAGGAACTTAATGGAGGACCATCGGGGAGGAGAAGGGGAAAAATAGTTGGGGAGAGGGAGGGTGGCAAACCATGAGAGACCCTTGAATACTGAGAACAAACTGAGGGCTGATGGGGGTGGGAGAGAGGGGAAGGGGGGAGACGGGCATGGAGGAGGGCACTTGTGGGGATGAGCACTGGGTGTTATATGGAAACCAATTTGACAATAAACTATTAAGTAAGTAAGTAAATAAATAAATAAATAAATAAAAAGATAGCTGGAGAGTGCAGGCCATTCTGGCTTGCTCTGGTCTAGACATAAGAGGTCAACAACAGCCCCCCTGAGGTCCAACATAGTTCATGAGATCTGGAGCCCACCTGGGGATTTGAGACAAAAAGTCTGTTGATAAAAAGTGGGAAACTGAGGGGTGCCTGGCTGCCTCAGTCTATAGAGCATGTAACTCTTGATCTCAGGGTTGTGAGTTCAAGCCCCACATTGGGTGTTAAGGTTACATAAAAATGAAATCTTTAAAAAAATTTTTTGGGGCGCCTGGGTGGCTCAGTCGGTTAAGCTCCGACTTCGGCTCAGGTTATGATCTCACGGTTCGTGGGTTCGAGCCCTGCGTCGGGCTCTGTGCTGACAGCTAGCTCAGAGCCTGGAGCCTGCTTCGGAGTCTGTGTCTCCCTCTCTCTCTGACCCTCCCCTGCTCACGCTGTCTCTATCTCTCTTTCAAAAATAAATAAAACATTTAAAAAAATTTAAAAATAAAAAGTAAATAAATTTTTTAAATGTTTTTATTTTAATGTTGAGAGAGAGAGAGAGAGAGAGAAGGCATGAGCAGGGGAGAAGCAGAGACACAGAGAGGGAGACACAGAATCTAAAGGAAGCTCCAGGCTCTGGGCCGTCAGCACAGAGCCTGATGCGGGGCTCGAACTCACAAACCATGAGATCCTGACTCGAGCCGAAGTTGGACACTTAACCGACTGAGCCACCCACGTGCTCCTAAAAATAAAATCATTATGAAAACAGTAGGAAACTGCAGCTACAGGAGGGGACTACGGAAAGGACCAAGCTGTGGTGTTCATCTGTCATGTGGTCTTCCCAGAGCCCTCTTTCTTTGAGGAACTGTCCTCTTCCACAGTATGGATGCCCATCTCTTAAATAATTATTTTAAAATATTTATTTACTTGTGTGAGAGATAGCGAGCGAGCCCGAGTGGGTGAACCCCACGAACCTCGAGATCATGACCTGAACAGAAGGCAGACATTCAACTGACTGAGCCACCCAGGCGCCTGGGTGCCCATCTTTAAAAAAAAAGAGATTGCTCCTTCTGGTGAAGTGATGTTTCAGCCATAGGGTCCCTCACTTACATGAGTTCCTTTCAAAGTCTTAGGAGAAGCCCTGACCATGTGTCCCCATGGTCAAATGTCTTTATAAAGTATGCAAAGGGAAGACGTGTTAACCACAGTCATTGAAGACCACAGGCTCTTCCCACTTCAGTTTTCCTTCTGTCTCACTTCCTCTCTTGGGAGTGTCCACAAACACTTTATGTTTGTGATTTCTTCTACCTATGTATCTTGAGAGTGCCGTAGTCATTCTATTTGGTGTTTTAACTCTTTTTCTTAAAGAAGGCTCTGCACACTGTATGAGCTTCATTCCCCACAAAATCTGGATCCACTTCTATCCAAGCCATAGCTGACTGGTCTAGGCGTGGGATCTGATCCACGTTAGGCTGATCAGTGTCTCCCTCTAGACTTGTGACATTTGGATGTGAGAGGCTGAGCTAGGAGTCTTTGAAACTAGCTGCATCCAGAAGGTCTCTCACAGGCTGTTCAGGCCCAGAAACAAGCCCCTGGGTTTCTGGTCTTCCACTATTGGGTTCTTCTGTTCCCCTCTTGATTCCTTAGGAGATTCCAAAATCAATCAGTTTTTCCTACTTTTAAGTGAAAAATCTTTACTAATTATATAGACTCGAATATGAATCCATTTTTTCTACTAGCAAGTGAAATATCTCTTAGACATAAGTCTAAGACCCCAGTCATCATAGATATTTCTAATAGTAGGCATTTCACGACTGTGGGTACTAAATGTGATACCGATAATGCCTGTGATCATTGCTGGAATTAGATAGAACATATTAGCACTTGTGGTGCAGAGGTCAGACAGGTTTGAGCCTCTTGCTTCAGGACCACACATTACAGACCGTCTGGGAGGTAAACCACAGGGGTCCTGGGTCTACAAGCCATACCTCATGCTGGGAACAAACAGCTTGGAGGAGAGCTAGAAGGAAACAGAGCGAGGCACTCTCAGCATGCTGGAAGCGGGGAAGAAACCACCTAGGCTTTTCTATTAGGAAGTTGGTATTCACTAAACAATGACCCTAAGTTGTCTCTTAAACCTCATTTCATCCAAGTTCACTAACTGACCTTGAGCTTTCTCTTTTTTGTCTGACATTGTTAAAAGGGTGTAACCAAAACCAACTTTAGTGTCATGTCCCTGCCTCTTTATGTTAGCTTTAAATTTCATTTGTAACAATGGTGTGGAGAATCTCAGGATCTTCTCTGCTCTCCACTGAGAAATGAAGTGCAGCTGTGGTCTCTGTTTCTGCATTGGATGGAAGTTCTGATCTCCTAGATGCCAGTGGCCAGAGGCTGGCAGGTTTAAGGCCATAATCACAGGAGAGCCTGAATACAGATAACAGATGATATCTGTGCTCTGTCTGTTCCAGGGTGTTCTCTAGTGTGCACACAGCACTTTACAGTCTTCTTCAATAGCCTAAGTATGAAGTGCTTCCACCATTTAGCACAGTGGATATCTGATGACATGTTCAGAAGTGCTAGTCAGCTGAGGAACATTTTTTTTTTAAGTTCATTTTTATGATTTATTTTGAGAGAGAGAGAGCACAAGCAGGGGAAGGGCAGAGAGAAGGAGAGACCGAATCCCAAGCAGGCGCCACACCATTAGTGCAGAGCCTAATGCGGGGCTTGAACTCACAAATTGTTAAGATCATGACTTGAGCCAAGATCAAGAGTCAGATGCTTAACCAACTGCATCACCCAGGCACTCCTGAGGAATATTTTTTTTAGAAAGGACGCTCCAAAAAAAAAAAAGAAAAGAAAGAAAAAACTACAGTGCTTTCTCAACTGTAAGAGGTCCAGTTATATTTATCAAAAAAAACCCTATTCCTATGGGGAAGACTGCCAAGCCTACATAAAAACTATCCACTAAACCTGAGAGGCTCATCAATGCCTTGTCATTTTAGTTTTTCCCACCTCATTGGTTTTAGAAAATGTAGGTTTTAACTATAAAACAAAATCTCATATATTTATATAAAACCGAGGTTCGGTTTATGTGTCATCAGATTATTATGTTTCATTCTGGTTTGAGGATTAGTCTACTTCATGCTATGCCAGTGTTTCAAAATATACCACAAAGATGTTTCTGTGCTTCTAGAGCTGGAGTGACCAATTCTATAGCTACCAGACACCTCTGGCTATTAAAATTAAATGAAAATTCAGTTAGCACTACTCACATCTCAAGTGCTCAGTGGTCACAGAGGGCTGTTGGCTACCATATTAGACGTAATTAGACTACATACAGAACAGCTCCAACGTTGGCAGAAAGTCCTACCAGATTGTCCTGTTCAAGAATGTACCTTAAACTGAAGGGCTAATAACCCAATTCATTCTAGAGCTTTAGCAGCTAGTAAAGTTCCTCACCGTTGCTCTACTCCCATCAGCATTGTTCATTTAGAGTTAAATAACAATCCTCAATTTAAAGTTCTACCTATGACCCATATAAGGACACATAGAGAAAAGCCTCTTTTTCTGTATATCTCCAGAAAAGTGGGGCCTAATTAGGAATCCTGTTGCAAATGCAATAAATACACTAAGTATTTTTACTACCAATGATTTACACTTTTGAGTTTTCTTTGTTAAGATAAGCCAGTTGGTTTGAGTGTCAGCTCCTTTGCCACATGACACAAATATTCCCTAGGCTTTCTTTCACCCAAGAGGTTTGGAGTAAGTTCTAATAATTATCTTTATTCAAATGCTCAGTAGTTAATGTGTGCTACTTCACCAGGCATGATATCATCATTATTAATGCTAATGGTTCTAGTAATGACTGTTGTCAAGTAGATGGTCAGACAGGTTTGAGCCTCTCTCTTGCCTCTCTCTTGCTTCAGGATTACATAGTACAGACTCTCTGGGAGGTGACCCATGAGGGTCCTGGGTATAGTGCCACATCTAACCCAGGGGACAAGCAGCTTGGCAGAGAACACGAATCAGAGCACATTACTCTTGGCATGATGGAAAGGGGTATGGTTTTTATTCTCTAAGATGTGCTATGCATGACTCCTTGTGACAGTGGCAGTGTTGTGTTTTCCAGACTCGCTGTACAAAGTGTTAGATGGAACCTTTAGAGAATAAACGAAGGAAGGGGGAGTGAGGAAAAGGTGTAAGTCTATGAATAGCCATGCACGTAAACACAAGATAAGTTTTTAACGAAGTTTTTACTACTTTTAACATCACTGGCCAAGTTTCTAGGAACTTGAGTTTTATAAAACTTCTACCTATAATCAGCTTCTGTAATGTGTGTTTTTATCTTCTTTATACATGTTGGGGGGAAAAATCCAAGAATAATTATGCTTGTGGACAAGGATAAATATGCATTTAAGGCAACCAACACCAGTTAGGTACCCTAATTAGTGCGACAAGAGACCTGGTGAGCAACCAGGGATTTAATAAGACTAATTACAACTTCTGCCAACAGTTGCTATGCCAGAGAGTGTCAGCATGGAAAGGTGCTTATCCATGAGAGTGTACAAACACTGGACGGTTTTCTCACACTTCGTAGTTACTCAGTACTCTAAGAGTTCTGGGGAGGACTTGGAGTGGAGTCTAGTGAAGAATGAGTTGGCTGCCGTGGGCTGGTCTGGCTACACGGGCTAGAGGCCAGAAGTGGAAGGACATGCCCAGGAGCCCTGTCGGACTTTATCCCGCCCCTATTTGGTGCTAAGGATGCCATCTCAGCCCTGACTGCTTTCCCGCTGTGTGCCCCGCCTTGCCCACATCGTTTCATGTAATACAACAACCCTGTGAAGCTAATCATAGAGACCGGGTACCTGGGGCTCACAAAGGTCGTAACTTGTAGACAGTCACGTAGCTGGGGAAGGTGGGGACCAGGATTCAAATGTGGGTTTGGCTGGTCCAAAGCCCATGCTCATTTTCCTCTTTTTACCAGCTCCCAGTTATAGGGATGGATACCTTAAAGGGCTCCTTTAGGTCCATGCACATTTCATATACATATATAAAATAAGACTATGAAATAAACAGTGTAATGCTGAACTATATGTACTATTTTCATGTATTCATCCTTGGGTTTTTAAAACCTTTTCATCAGAAACAGTTACATAAAGCCCAAAATGTGAACCATAAAAGCAAGTAAGCTCTGGTTGAGCTGGATGAGAGCCAGGAGCCCTTTTGTCGCCATCCCACTGTGGATTTTCTAGATCTCCTTGGGCACAGTGGGAAAATCATCGGCATCAGACGCTGAGCCTCCTAAAAACAAAATTAAAGATGGACTTTCATCTTTCTAAGTGTAAAGCATAGTTCTTGAGTGAACAGGTTCCCAACAAATACTTTTGAATGGAGATTGAATGCTGTTAATAACCATAATAAACCAGAATTTTCAGGGTAGGACCTTGAGGCTTCCCTTGCTTGTGGGAGCCAAGATTCACAGAGATGACTATCAGGAGTTTTCCTCCAGCCAGATTGACAATATTTCTGGTTGTTTTCTACGTATCTTCATGTATGGCAAGCTTTGCCCAGGCACTGTGCTGCCATGAATGGATGGGTCAGCTCACTAACCATCATGGAATTGGAAAGCAAAACCAAATGAGGGGCACCTGGGTGGCTCAGTTGTTTCAGCGTCCGACTTCAGCTCAGGTCATGAGCTCTGCATCGGGCTTTGCGCTGACAGCGTGGAGCCTCTTCAGATTCTCTTTCTCCCCCTCTCTCTGCCCCTCCCTGATGATTTCTCTTTCTCTCTCTCTCTCTCTCTCTCTCTCTCCCTCTCTCTCCCTCCTCCCCCCCTCAAAGATAAATTGGGAAAAATACCACACGAGATACCACCTCACAACTGTTAGGATAGTTAACCTCAAAAAGTCAAAAGACAGGGGCACCTGGGTGGCTCAGTCGGTTAAGCGTCCGACTTCAGCTCAGGTCATGATCTCACGGTTCATGGGTTCGAGCCCCGCGTCAGGTTCTGTGCTGACTGCCAGCTCAGAGCCTGGAGCTTGTTTCAGTCTGTGACTCCCTCTCTCTCTGACCCTCCCCTGCTCACACTCTCTCTCTCTCTCTCTCTCTCTCTCTCTCTCTCTCTCAGAAAGAAATGATTAAAAAAAAAAACATTAAAAAAAAGACTTTTAAAAAAAGTCAAAAGACAGCAAGTATTGGTGAGGATGTAGAGAAAAGGGAACCTTTGCACGCTGTTGGTGAGAATGTAAATTTGTGCAGCCACTGTGGAAAACAGTACGGAGGTTCCTCAAAAAACTAAAATAGGACTACCATATGATCTAGCATTCCCATTTTTGGGATTATATCCGAAGCAAATAAAGTCATTATCTCAGATACTTGTACTCTCATATTCATAGCAGCATTATGAACAGTAACCAAGACATGGAAATATACAGCAAAATATGAATGGATAAATAAAATGGGGATGGGGGCAGGGGAGTAGACATCCTTACACACACAATCCAATTTTATTTAGCCTTAAAAAAAAAGAAAATCCTGGGGTGCCTAGCTGGCTCAGTCAGTAGAGTGTCTGACTCTTGATTTTGGGGTCATGAGTTCAAGCCACACGTTGGGTGTAGAGAGTACTTAAAAAATAAATATATAAAATATAAAAACCAGAAAATCCTGCCATTTGATACAACATGGATGAACCTAGAGGACATCATGCTAAGTGAAATAAACCAGACACAAAAAGACAAACTCATAGTAACAAATAGTAAGATAGTAGTTACCAGGGGCCAGGAGTTGGGGAAAAAAGGCAGATGTTAGTCAACAGATAGATGTTCATTATAAAATAAATAAGTTCTGGAGACAAAAATGCACAGCCTGGTCAACAAACCTAACGATAATGTAGTGTATACTTGAAATTTGCAAAGGAAATACATCTCAAGTGTTCTCATCACACACTTAACAGAATGACAATTATGTGAGGTGGTTAGCCTGATTGTGGTATTCATTTCACAATGCACACATATATCAAAACATCACGTTAGACACTTTATATATAATTTTAATTTGTCAATCATACCTCAGTAAAGCTGGGAGGAAAAAATAAAAACATTATTTGTTGTCTCATAAAGAAATGCATCTTTTCTTTGTCACTTTAAGAAATGTATCACATACCTTTTTTTTTGTTAGAATTGGCATGATGAAATGGAAATGAGAATTTCTTGACACCTTTTGATTTTTCACACTCTTTTTTTAAAACAGTTGAAGAATAGGTGATACGAATATGTTGGTTGGTTTCTCTATCTGGTGGACTCAGAAATTGTGGGTAATCATCAATCTGGAAAAAAAATAATTAACTGAACTGATTGAAGACAAATATAACTTTATCCTGTAATGATAAATCCCCGACAGCTTAGGACAAGTTTAAACTCCATTCTTTCTTTTTATTTTTTTTCCCTGAGATATCTTTTTTCTTGGTCAGGTTTCTCAATTCTTCCTCTATTTGTTTTAGTCTTTACTAAAAATGTACTCGGCAATGGAACTCAAGACACTATTTACACTATAGGATTGCTAAATAAATAGAAACTGTGTTTTTGTATGTTAAAATATATCCCCCCATTTTCATTTTGAAAATAGATTTTTTAAAAGGTCTAGGGGCGCCTGGGTGGCTTAGTCGGTTAAGCGTCCGACTTTCGCTTAGGTCATGATCTCGCAGTTCGTGGGTTCGAGCCCCGCGTCGGGCTCTGTGCTGACTGCCAGCTCAGAGCCTGGAGCTTGTTTCAGTCTGTGACTCCCTCTCTCTCTGACCCTCCCCTGCTCACGCTGTCTCTCTCTCTCTCTCTCTCCTAGAAATAAAAAAAAAAGTAAAATTAATGAGCTTAACCTAGGATTTTTCTATGTAGTAGACAATGTCCATTTGTGGGGAAAGAGTACAAAGATTCTGTGACTACTGACATCTAGGTTTGAAGTATTGGAAGTTTCCTGCTCCTAAATAGCTGTCTCTTCTCTACAAAGTGCTCCATGTTCTATTCTTTTTTTTTTTTTTATTCTATTCTTGATTAAAAACAGAAAAGTTCTCAATAAATACTTAGGATTTTTAGATCGTCTCTACTTCCCTTTTTATGACAGGTAGGCAGCAATAGCATCTAACTGAAAAGCTAAGCGCAGACTCAAAGATCATCAGCGGCATATTTAAAACCTTTAATCCAAGCATCAGAGGGAATATCTCTATAGACCTAAAAAACTTTTTTGTTAATATTTATTTTTGAGAGAGAGAGAGAATGCACGTGCATGAGTTTGGGAGGGGCAGAAAGAGAGGGAGACACAGAATCTGAAGCAGGCTCCAGGCTCTGAGCTGTCAGCCCAGAGCCCAGCGTGGGGCTTGAACTCTTGAACTGTGAGATCATGACCTGAGCTGAAATCAGACACTTAATGGACTGAGCCACTCAGGCGCCCCTCCTCTATAGACTTTTTGCAAGCTCTTACAATTTGTATAAAAATATTTCCCGTGATCATCCAGTTGCATTATTCTCTCTTCACAAATATTTCCTGTGATATGAAGGAATTATCAAATAATAATAATTTAAAATCTAATTCAGAGGAATTAAAGATAAGAAGATAAATTAATGAAAAGCCATCAAAATCTACTCAAATTTAACTTTTGGAATTATTTTCAAATATGTAGAGTAATTCAAACCAACATAATGAAGCATAGTCCAGTGGAGGTGTTCAAAGGATGTGCTTTCATTAATAATAAAAGTTTATGTAATTAGTGGCTGTGGTTCCGACTGTATTTAATATTAATCTGGTAAAAAGTAGGCTTCAAGTAATGACTGAATATAAATAAATATGTAAATACGTCTGCCTCAAATTGCTAATTAGCAGTTTGGGGAGGAGAAAAAGTACCTATAATAATTTGAATAACTCCACAGTTTATGGAGCATGGCAAATATATAGTACTTGCAACACATCTATGGGGTAGTTATTATCTTTAGTAAAAGGTAAGAGATTTATATGATTTGAAGAGAAACCAAGGTATATGAGGTAGTTATTACTAACTCCATTTTGCAGTGAGAAAATGAAGGTTCAGAGAAGTTAAGTTTACAAAACTAGTCAGAGGTGGAACTAGCATTATGAGACAAGGCTGTTGGTTTCCCAGGCTAATGTTATAAAAACGACTAACAAGTTTAAGACCACAGCCCTAACTAGTGGTCGGAGGTGGGGATTTTGTCAGGGAGAAATAGAAGTTTTTCTATGCTAAAAGCAGGGCTGGAGGGGCTTCTGGCTGGCTCAGTCCATGGAGCAGATGAATCTTGGTCCCAGGGTCATGAGTTTGAGCCCCACGCAGGGCACGGAGCCTACTTAACATTTTTAAAAATTAATTAATTAATTAAAATTAGGGGCACCTGGGTGGCTCAGTCAGTTAAGCATCCAACACTTGCTAATGGCTCAGGTCATGATCTCTCAGTTATGAGATCAAGCCCCAAGTTGGGCTCTGTGCTGACAGTGTGGAGCCTGCATGGAATTCTCTCTCCCTCTACCCCTCCTTCACTTGCATATGCCCTCTCTCTCTTTCTCAAAATAAATAAAATTTTAAAAATATTTTTTAAAAATTAAAAAGAAAAAAAAACAGGGGGCTAGAATCCAAATGGTAATCAAACAGCTGAATTCATTATTGTGTAGGAGTTCCAGTCAAATTTTGCTAATTCTTTTATTTGAGATGGAAGTAGAACCAGATCTCATTTTTATTTAGTTTTTATAGTCACCAAGTTTGGTTAGCTTTGTCATCCAAGAACATAATACCTGGGACACCTGGGTGGCTCAGTCAGTTGAGCATCTGACTTCAGCTCAGGTCATGATCTCCGGGTTCTTGAGTTCGGGTCCCATGCCAGGGTCTGTGCTGACAGCTCAGAGCCTGGAGCCTGCTTCAGATTCTGTGTCTCCCTCTCTCTCTGTCCCTCCTCCACTCACACTTGCACTCTCTCTTTCTCTCTCAAAAATAAACATTTAAAAAATTATTTATTTATTTATTTATTTATTTTATTTCTTAGTGAGAAAGAGGCAGCATGAGCAGGGGAGGCTCAGAGAGGGAGGGAGATACAGAATCTGAAACAGGCTCCAGGCTCTGAGCTAGCTGTCAGCACGGAGTCCGATGTGGGGCTCGAACCCACGAACCATGAAATCATGACCTTAGCCGAAGTCAGAGGCTTAACTGACTGAGCCACCCAGGTGCCCTAAAGATTTATTTTAAAAAAGAACATAATACTTTCCTTCAATACCCTGTGGTGGCATTTATTCATGAAAATTTTTTCTCTGTTCATTGGCATGGAAAGATATCCATGACATGCTGTAAAGTAAAAATAAGATTACAGAATAATATGTGGAATATGGTTCCGTATGTGTTAATGCACAGAACACGGTTTGGAATGTTGTGTGGGTAACTGTGGTTATCTCTGGGTGGTGAGACTTGTTCACAGATAAACTGAGGCATGTTAAAAATCTTAAGAGCCTATTTGGGCAAGAATCGATTCAAATCAGGCAGTATCCAATCTAGCAGATAGAAAGGCACTACAAGAGGGGAGTGGGAACTAGGAAGTTATACTTGGTAAAAAAATTAGGTTATTGCAAAGTTACTTTCCTTTAGGGGACAGCAGGAGTCTATCAGGAAGGTTACCCAACTAGTGCTGATCAGGAGATTCCTGATTGACTGGTTTAAGATTCCATTTCTGGGAGTGACAAAAATGGAATTAGGTTAAGTCTCCATTTGGGGCCTGTCTTGTTTTTAACAGATTATAAGTACATAATTTAGTTTTTATCTATTTTAATTCCAAGAATCATCTACATGCTATGACAAAGACAGTTGTTTCACTGATTTTTAAAAAATATTTCAGCTGGTAGCCCTAGCATCTCATAGTCATAAAACACAAATGTGTCCATTTGTCACCAAAGAACTAAACGGGGGTGGGCAGTGAGGACAATTAGTCTGACACATGAAGGCAGCATACAGCAACATGACTTATAAAAAGGCATTCTGTGCATGCTCTGAGGCCTCCATCACTGTAAGGGAGGTGGTAAATGATTACACTGATGACTGCCACACAGCCAAGGGGACTCATCGTTGTCTGTGAAGGGTGGATGACATCGGATAAACGAACAGTAACTGAACAGCGGTAGTGCCTATGAGCTATCACTTTTCACTTTCCTTATTCTCTCTTATTGGTTCATCTAACAGTCATAATCTCAGTTGCAAAGAGATTACTGTATAAAGTATATATATATATAGTATATATTTATAGTATACATAGTATACATACTTATAGTACTTAAACATATAACATACATACTTATGTATACTAAATATAGTATAAAGTATATATAGTATAAACAGATTACAGTATGACTACAGTACTATAGATAGAACAAACTCTTATAGAAACATTTGATTCAACTTGGACTGGAATTACAAGGACAAAGTGTTAAGAGTAAGGAAGGTGGTTTCTCGCTCTCACTGTTTTTGCATTTAATTTTTTTTTTAAATCAAAGTCTTTTCTAAAGACCACAACATGTTTGTGAAGCATGAGAGGACTACCCATGAGCTAGGCAAAGCTAATTTACACATCCATGGGAGGTAACAAGTTTTCTGACTGAGAAGCTTCTCCACTGTCAGGCAAGGAGACTTGGTCCAAAGAATATGCTGTCAGTGCCTGAACAAAGAAAATAAAGCTCTTCAGAGGGACACAGTTGAGCTCAATCCTATGCTAGCAATTTATTTTAGGCATAATGTTATCTGAAAAGAAAATTTTTCCATTTACACCAGAGACATCATTGAGAAATTCAAAGCCAGAGTCTCCATTTCACCCAGAGCATGAAAAGATATAGGTATGTAGGTAGGTAGGTAGGTAGGTAGGTAGATGATAGATGCCATGCTCCTACAGAACTACTTTGTTTAAAATTTTCTAACTTTAGGGGTGCCTGGCTGGCTCAGTCAATAGAACATGTGACTCTTGATCTCCAGGTCTGTGAGTTTGAACCCCATGCTGGGGTACAGTTTACTTTTAAGAAAAAATTAAAATTTTTCTAACTTTATGTCTTAGAATAAGCATTCATAGCTTATTTTAAGTAAGTTTAATTATTTTAAATAGTTTAAAATAAGCTAAATAGTAGGAGTTAAATTTTATTTTGTAAACAAATAGTTAGCTTATTTAGGTGGGAAATAAGTTAAGATTATTCATTGTATCATATAGCATTGAATTTATGTTTTTAGGACTATTTATCAAAGTTGAAAGAAGTGCTTTTACCCAGACACCTTTTAGTACAGGTAATAATATCTGAATATCT